ATAAGGCAACCGTCAGATTGGGCTCTGCGGGTGCGGGCCAACCAACTATGACAGCGGTTATCGCGGACGCGTAGCCGCCATTGACGTGCTTTCTGGTGTGCTATCCTTTTTACCACTCTTCTGCACTTTCCTGCTTTGGTTTTGTCAAATTTACAATTCCACCCAAAACTTTTTTTTATTCTTCGTTAACTCTAAAAACTTCTTTCACGTGAATAAAATTTTCATTTACAGCGATACAAATAAGGGTAAAATAAATTAAAAATAATTATTTATTATTTTTTCAAATATTTAAAAATAATTTATATTTTTTAAAAAATAATCACTTTTAAATGAATTATATGTCGGAAAAAAAATAAATAATTTATTGTTGATCGAAACGTTCGTCTTTTTTAAGTGAGTTTTTGTTTTAACCTTGCTAAACTTATTCATATAGGACAAAATTCACATTCACATTTTCTAGGCCGCCGCATGGACAACAGTAATTATTCAATTAAATTTAAATTTGTTAATAATATCATTATCGAAAGAGGAAGACCTGCATCTTTTTTAAGGAAAACAAGAAAAAGCAAAGGATTTCACAAAGCAAGACCAGCTCAGTCAATAAATTAAAAAAAAAAAATGTTACATAACGTGGAAAATTCAATGAGCTCCGTATATAGGTTCTTTTCTTCTTTTTATTTATAGATATAAATGGAAAATCACATACTTTTTCTCCATTAATATAGTTTTATAGCTTTTTTTTTTCTCTTTCTCTCTTATTTTCTTTCTTTTTTCAAATAATTAAAAAAATAAAAAATCATCTTATATTTTCTTTCCTTTGTTTTATTTTCTCTCTTATCTTTTATTTAGAAGAGAAAGAATAACAAAGAAAAAGAAAATGAAAAGAGAGAATAAGAGAAGATATTGATTTTTCCTCATTCCGAATGAAAGAAAAGTAAGAGTTATTTTTCTTTTAAAAATTTCTTTGAGAAAATATGAAAAGTTAGAATATTGTATTAACGGTTAGAAATTTCAAGAAAAGAAAATTCTTGCCAAGTATTTATCAAAAAAAAAAAAAAAGGAATATTAAAAAGGAATAAAATGGTGTGAAAAAAAAATAAATAAAGGAGGGAGGGAAAAGATGGAGAAATGGGACAAGACGGAGCTTTGTTTTTAAAAAAAAAAAAAAAAAAGTTGAATTTAAAAAAAAAAAAAAAAAAAGTGAAATGCGTGAGGCGTCAACCTGTGTAGGTATGAACAAGTACTAAAAAAGTACGAGCTGCGCACTGTAGCGTACTACTAGAAACGACAGCGGTGAAGTTCTTAGCCGTGATGGATTAGATTCCCATCCAATCGTCAATGCTTTTATTTTACGGTTTTTAATTTTATCTTCTCATGTTTTAATTTTTAAATAATTGCACCGCTCTCGGGTACATAACCAACGATAGCTCGTCTCTGCACTAGTAATTTATTACCCTGTCTATCATAAAAGCCGAACAGAATAGCAGGCCTTTCAACAAATTTCAATAACCTGACTCCGACTCCTATTCCCCAATTTACAATGGGGATCGTCATCAAAATGGGCCCAAACAGATGAACTGCCACTAATCAACGACAAGAGTGGAAGCCCAGATGTTGGCCCATGCTGGTCATGCTACATTGAATTTTGCCACCTAAATAAATTTTTTTTTTATTGTGATATAATTCATTTAGGATGTGTTTACTTATGTATAACAGTTTTTTAGAAAACAGAAATAGAAAAATGCATTCACTTTTTACCAATAAAAAAAATTATATTTTAATTAAAAACTTCACAAACATTATTTATAACTTTCATAATTAAAATAAAGTATTATAAAATCACTTTAGGAATTTTTTATTTAAAATCTTTTGAATTTTTATTATTAATTATTTATAATAATAATATTCATTTTTATCATTTTGTAAAATATTGTTAAAATAATAATAATAATAACAGTTGCGAGTTATTTCGCTGAACATTTTATTGTTGTTTTCTTTCAAGCGTTTTATCAAACATTTCATCAAATTAGCTGTTTTATTGGGTCGGGTGTTTTGGACTTGTTGTTGAGCCATTCACAGGCTGAGTTGGGGAATGATTTGTAATGATTGGGCCACTAGGCCCACTCGAACGGCCCACCAAAATGCCATTATTGAAAGCAAGGAAAGAAGTAATTGCAAGTGGACAATAATACTACGATTCCTCTCTCTCCGCAACATCTTCTAGCAGGAAACAGAGAGAGAATTATCACTCCTGTATTTTTTTCTGATATTTCAAATTTTATTAGACTTTAAAAAATCATGTTATGAACAGTACTCCCTTTTTTCTCTATTCTCAAAAATATTTTTTCTAAAGATATATTTTTTTTCAAGAAATAAACATAGCCTTCGAAAAAAAAAAAAAAAAAACTAGCCGAAAAATTGATTAATAAGCTTACATCAAAAAAAAAAAAAAAAAAAAGCCGAAAAATGATAATAGCTTACAATCTTTAGAAAGCAAAATTCAAATTATTGCAAATGATATGACATTGCAGCGAGGGACCCCGACATAATAAATTATTTATTACGAGCATTTCATTGTCAAAAAGTAGAAATAGTGCTCTTTTTTTTTTTCGTTATGTAAATAATTTCTTGCAAAGACTTTGCCATGAGAAATTGCCTTCCATCTTAGTTATGGACACAAAAGCAAACTTCATGTGGTAGGGAATGGAAATGTAATTAATTTAATATTTTACATTTTTGCAGAAAAAAAAAAAGAATAATAATTATTTTTTATTAAACCTGACTGTATCAGAAATTTAAGAGCAGTGGGTTATGGGTATTTTACAGTTCCAAGGTTCTTGTCTTTGTGTTTTATTTACTTGTCTATCTCTTACACTTTTTGATTTGATTAGAAACTGGCCATTCTGAGCTGTTAACTTAATGGCTGCTTGCGACCACTCAGAATTTCAGTACATCACACGCTATAATATTTCCTTTACTGTCACTAATTACTTTCATTAATATTTAATTATTCCTTTTTATCATCTAATGACACTGACCTTTTGTTTGTTATCAGAACAAAAAAGCTGTTTGGTTAAAAAAATTTTGTTTTTTTTAATTAAAAAAACATTATTTGGTTACTGCTTTTGTTCTTTTTTCTTACTATATATATATTTTTTATTTTGTGCAAGATACTGAGAGTAGCATGTGATTGGCGAATTAGATTTTGAGTTTGTTTAAAATATTGTAAATGTCAGGAATCATCCACAAAGGCCCATTTATTATATGATGTGGACCCACGTGCGGCCCATTTTCTAATTTCATAATAACAACGGTAGACCGAAACTACTGTCCTAACTTTGTCTCCAAACTCCAACGACATTCATTTGTTACTCTGACTGAAATGTCCCAAACGACAACCAGCCATTATTTTGTTCAAAAAGAAAATAACATTTTTCATCATTTTTTTTTTTCGCTTTTTCCATAAACTATGGATACCGTCGAGGCTGAAAATGAAAATTCCATAAAAAAATATTTATATTTTATTTTTTAGATTTTAAAAATCAAATAAACTAAAAAAAAAAAAATTATATAATAAGAGATTGAGTTGTCTAGATCGAATTTATAGATCTATTTATTTAATAAATTAATTTTTTATTTAAAAAAAATAATAAAAAATAAATTTTATCAAAACAAATTGCAATTAAAATAAATAATAATGGCAGAATTGGGATCGTACAATTATAGACACAATAAATAATTGCCACCTCATCCTCGATTTGAAATGAACAATAATGGCAGTTTAGCATCAAATAAGTCTGAAATTGAAGTCTGCTATAGACGTTGGACAAGGCCAGGCTTAATGGCATTATCGACATCTCCTTTGTTTAGCCTAGCCAATTATCCATTTCATTTCCTGCCTGGTTTAGTGGCCACATTTTTTTTTTTTTTTCTTTATAATTGCAAGGCCACACGTTGGAAATACATATTTACAATGTCAAATTTATTCATATTTTCGTTTTTTTTAATTCAACTTTATATTTATTTTTATTTTATGCCAATTATAATATGATTTGAAAATTATTGATTATATCTCAATATCAAAATGTTAAAAAATAATTCTCCGGTCTTAAAATGATAGTGCATTCAATGGCGGAATTTGAAATGATCAACAATGGACTCTGTCCTCTAATTTTAAAATTACCTTATAAAATATAAAAAATTATCTTTTACCCATAAAATAGTAAATTTTTTCAATTTCGTTATTTTTAAATTTTGAAAATATCTTTCACCTCCTAAATAAGTAAATATTTGTTATGATTCCTACATGGGGTTCATCTTTCCTTTTCTTATATTTCCGTTATCAGAAATGTTTGTAAAATCCTAGCAAACCGATGGGATGTGTCTCAACTTTGAATTTCAATGCTCTAGCTCTCCTCCAGTGTAATTTTCACCCTCTAGCTCAAATTTTAATGTCAGAAAGCTTCAAAACATTCATAATTTAAGTACATTAGGAAAAAATAAAATAAAATAAAATAATTAAGATTTAACTATATTAATTAAATTTTTATTAGTTTATATATAAATTAAACCATGACAAAAAGAGAATATTATTTTATTATTAATAAATAAAAAATTTTTTGGAGAAAAATTAATAAATAGAATTTAAACCAGTTGCTTTTATCTTAAAATACTCTCATTTCGCATTACTATCAATAAAATATTAAAGATTGACCACCTAGTATTTTAATCTCCACTTATTCTTACAGTTGTAAATATTGTGTTTCCAAAGAGAAGTACTTTAACACCATTTGAGGCGCAGAACCCACAGTTTAATCCAGGCAGGCAGATGGTCAAACTAAGGGTTGTTAGCAGGTGCAAAGTGGCTCATCAGTTCAGACGGACAGACACAGTAATTAAATAATTTTAAGAGAAAATCTGTTTCTTTCTTTAAGGTATTCTCTTCCGCTCTTTGTGATTCTCCATAAAACAAAAATGTCCAAACAAACTGAAATAATTCATTTTCAATTCAAAATGTCCTTCAAAATATATTTTATACTATTTTCTTTTCTATTTTTTTTGACAATTTTCTTGAATAAAGCAAAAATCCAAAACCTAGAACAAACTGTGTCTCACAAACCCAAAAATAAAAAAATAAAAACCAAAAACTTTTTTTTTAACCAATATTTTCCTTCTCTCTACTCCTTGTCTATAGCTGTTAAGAGATCTAATATTTAACAGCTCTGACTGTTATTTTCATGCCCAAAGCATGAATCTTTTTTTTTTTTTTTCCCACTTCCAATTTGCCTCCATCCTTCAACCATGATCCAACTTATTGAAATCTTTATACTCCATTTCTGCATTTTCCCAATTTTCACTTCTTTCCTACCTGCCCTCCTTTCTGCCTTCATTTCTTTTTTTTTTACCCTTCCTATTTTCTTTGGCAGCACCATCGTAGAGACACCAAAGCTCCAATTTCAAAAAACATATTCAAAAAGGTCTTTTGTGAAAAATCAAACCTCCATTATTCAAAGCTACACTTCCCATGGTCTATTTATTTTTCTCCTTTTGGCATCAGGAGTATTTTGAGAAGAATTTGCACATGACCCAACAGTTGTGTCATCACTTCTATAGCTCAAGCATGCTGCATCCAAAACCCCAATTGGACTTCGGGGCACAGATAGGACTGAGGCACTTGCATCCTTAATAGACCCACCAATCAATGACAAATCATAAACTAGTTGAATACACTTCATCACTGTCTCCTGCAAAAACCAAAATTTTAACGAGAAATAATCAGCCAAATATGAAAAAAATAATTACTACCATTTACTGTCTAAACATTAAACTGTAATTATCTATGCAATTATAGTAGCATAGCTCAATTGGTCAGATAGAGAGTAATAGAACTCTAAAAAATACGAATCGGAATTTATGTTTCCTTTATTAGATTTTTTGGACCACTAATGCAGTAATTTACCTTTTGTACATGTTGAGAGAGAACAGAAATTGCTTGCTCAGAGACCACTGTTTTGATTTCCCCAACAACAGCTATGGCCACTGCTGCTGCAATCTCAGAAGGCCTAAATTCCAAGAAGTCAATTCCTGCATTCAATTTCAACCAACCAAAAACATCAGTCACCTCCTCTCAAATATCTCAATCACAACTGTTACAACTTCAGAGATAAATTATTGTAGACTAGTACAGTTGCAAAACTACTTTTATTTGAGAGGAAAAATAAACGGACCTTTAATTGTACTTAATATGAGCTGGATTGATTTCAAAATTAAAGATCTAGATGGGTTTTCATCATTATTGATCTTGTAAAGGAAATGGTCTATGAAAGAGAAAGGTGTAATTGCTTGCATTCTCCAACTCAAGGTGCTTAGTACAAGAAGCTCCATTCTTTGTATAGTTCTTGCTTCAAATACAAATTTTGATTCACCAACCTATTAAAATCACCATAATGAGAACTTAATTAGATCAAAACAAAAACTTAAAAGAGGCAATTCTAAAAAGAAAACTCAGATAGATATTCACCTGTAAATCTAGAGAAAGTGGAACTTCAGTCTCCTCCATTTTGGCTGCAAGAGATAAACAGGCCACAGCCAATAATTGCATCATCCAAGCTTTACCTTTCTGCGAAGGAATTTTTAAGCAATATATAAGAAGAAGATCATAAGAGAGGCAGTAGGGGGAAAAAAGACATATATGGAAAATGTGCTTAATTATCAAACTTACTGGCAGTTCGTAGGCAGAGAGAAATCTATCCAAGTAGTTTATTGATAAATATGCACAAAGTGGTCCAAAACCAAAATGGGAATGAACCTGTTGAGCCAACAAGGCCATTAGTATTATTATTGACAATCAATTGAGCTCCATAAAGGAATTGCACAAAGAATTGAATAGAACAGAACAGAAATAGGAAAAAAAAAAAAAAACTCATTATCAATGATGTTTGGCATGAGATTAATCAAATGAGAGAGAGAATCAAAGTAAGACAAAATATGCATATGAGACTAATCAAAGGAAAGAGATTAAAAAGCAAAGATAAAATATGCACAATCTAGTTCATGTACAAGGGTAAAGGCAAAGAATACAGAGGACTTCAATTAACAACTCAACATTGGCCCCAAAAAGGGAGAAAAGCAAGGGAACCCACCAAACTCATTTCAGATTAAGCAAAAGAGAAGAGGAAAAAGAAATTCCCAATAACAAGAGCAAAAAAAAAAAAAAAAAAAAAAAAAAAAAAAAAAACCACTGCTTAAAAAAAAAAAAAAAAAAAAAAAAACACTGCTTACCGATGTCATTTAACACCAATATTAAAAAGAAACACAAACACAATAAATACTTGCCAAAAGGGCTGAAATCAATCAAAATGCAGAAGCAACCCCAAATTCAACTCCGGAAATCAGGAACTAAATCTCTATAGAACCATCAGACCTCAGTATGCCAAAGAAAAAAAAGGTCCTGTCCTTGCATAAAACTAGCGAAACCCCCCCAAAAAGACTTCCGATTTTTGAAAAACTAATCGAAAATTGGAAACTAAAAATGATCTACAAGTATTTGATAAAACATTAAAAAACAAAAACAAAAAAAAAATAAATAAATAAAACCCACCTTTCCTATCCAATCTACAGCCTCTTTTCTATCCCCCAAGTCCAAGTCTCCTCTTCTCAGTCTCTTTAAGTAATCCACATTTGGCAAATGCTGGCACTCTTTCTCTACCATCAAAGCCAAACACTCCTCACTCTGCATTGGCAACCCACCGTAAAAGGCCTTGTCTTGATGGTGGATTCGATGATTCCTAAGATGCATGATATTTTCAAATTCCTCCACATCACCATAGCAATCGTTATCATTGAAAATGCTATTATTATCCTCTGCACAAAGAAGGCTTGAAACCGCACAGTCAAAACTCGGCGCCATTAAAATAAAAACCTCTCCAAAAAAGAAGAAAAGACTCTTTCTTTCTGGGTTGTATATTTTTAAACGATGAAGTTCATTAAACAGAAAATGGTGATCAAAACTTTGATGGCTTTTAATCTTTGTCCGAATAATAAATAACAGATTTTTGCCTCAAGAAATTGAAGAACAAATAATGGTCTTTTTATCAGACTACAAAAGAACAAAAAACCAATATGGATTGAAAGAAACACTCTCCCTCTCTCTCTATCTTTCTAAGTTGGGGGCTGAAAAGACTGCTGCAAGCAGGGGTTTATGAAGGAAATGAGTGCCTCTTTTTAGGGCAAAAGGCAGAGAGAGAGAGAGAGAGAGAGAGAGAGAGATGGAGGAGAGAAAGGGCACTATTGATATATGAATCAAAGAAAAATATAAGTGAAAAATATCCAAAACAAAAGGGCAATTACAGTATTTTGTAGAGAGAGAAAGAGAGAGTATTGTCTGTACAAGGATGGTGTTGTTGATGTCTTAAAACACCCAGTTACAACTGTTGTACGTGGAAACTATTGTTGGGCTACCGGAGAAAATACTTGCGTTGCGTATGCTTTCGTATAACCTCCCTCCAAATTCATTTATATAGCCAAAATTTTTTTTTTATTTAGGGTGTTTAATAGACAAGCATGTTAGATTTGGAGTAAAACCAAAGTATAAAGTCCATCTTACCCTTTATTTCAATGCTATTAGAATCGAATTAGTAACTAAACCGGCATTATGACTAACTGGGTCAAGGTTGAACTGGTTCAACCGAATTTTCTTTTATATATATATATATATATATAAGTGTACATATTTTAAGTGCAAGAAAAATAATTTTTTACAATAGTTAAAATATACAATATATCATTCTCATCAAATATTCATCCTATATAACAAAATAATATATATAAATACAAAGAATTTAACTAATAATTTCAAAACTTAAAATCAAATATTAATTCAATATTCATAAATTTAAATTATATTATTTAATCCAAGTTGAAAGTTGAAATTTAAGTTCTAACACACAAACCGTATCAAATACATATAAAATAACTCTTTTTTTTTTTTTTTCACTTTGTTTACATAGTGTTTTTCTTTTCTTTTTGTTTTTCACTTGTTTACATTGTTTTAAAACAAAGGTTATGTTGTTTGATTTTTCTGACAAGTGCAATTAATGACAATAATTGAGATATTTTCGTAATTTAAGGATTGTGTCATATTTCTTAGATTTTGAATTTCACAAAACACATGTAGAATCAGTGCTCATTGTAAAATTGGCGCACATGTTTTACTGGTCTGTATAGATCTAGACATTATAAGATAAGTAGAACTATTATGTAGACATTTCTCATCCATTTTTCTATTTCTACAGTGAATCCATTAATTTTGGGTTATCAAATGATGAAAGCATGAGACATTTGACTTTAAAAGAACAATGATGTAGTTAATACACAGTCAAATTACAAAAAATGGAAAAAATTTCAGCTAAACAAAACAACTTTCATTTTTTAATTTATGTGCAATTTACATTGTATTCGATATCATTTATCTTACACTCACCAATTCTTATTTTGAAAAAAATTAATCATTTACCCCTCATAGAGTAAAAATTTTTTAAAAATTATTACTATTTTATCATTTTTTTATGAACAGTGAAAATTATATCGTTTGGATTAAAAATTATTTTTAATTAATTTGTTATATATATATATATAGTAATTACATACATGTAAATGTTCCCAAAATAGATATTTATATTTTTTTTTAATTTTTATTTTTCAGCCACTATGGCATTTCTTTTTGACTTCCTATAAAATCTCTTTCTGTTCCGTATTTGGAGAGTTTATATATTTAGTTTAATCTTATCTACAAAATTATTTGGTTAGATATATCGAATAATATCTCCCACTAATGTTTCTTATACTTATGAACATGAATTTTTTTATTTCAATTTTTTCTATTTCAGATATGAGATTATGTAATTGAGAAATTACATGTAAAATTATTCTCCAAGATAAGAGAGGTTATTCCTATTATCTGATTCGATAAATCTTCCTATAAATAAAAGAAAATTTAAATAATATTTATTAATTAATCAATTGATTGTCTTCAAACGAAAAATGGCAACCACGAGGAAGGCGCTGAACCTGATCCCCAATGTCTTATGTGAAATTTTCTGATTCTTTTTTTTTTTTTTTTTTTTTTTGTTCATTGTGAAATTTTCTGATTCTTTTTTTTTTTTTTTTTTTTTTCTGATTTCTAGGTTTCGTGAGAGTCAGAGATCTGAATCATCTTATTTTTTTTTTTTTTTTTTTTTTTCTGATTCTAGTTTCGTGAGAGTCAGAGATCTGAATCATCTTATATTTGATTTTCCTTACTTAACCTAATTTCCCATATCATATTACCAGGAATTTTCTTTAATTACGCATAATAATTTTTTGGTCTGCCACAGTAAATAGATGCAACGTACTGGGGATAAAAGAGTAAAAAGAGACCATTCAAAGGAAAAAATAGTGAGGACCGACCAGTGGGCATTAAGCTTGTCTTTTAGTTCTCCCACGTTGACACGTGTGGTCTTATTCACTGGAAACATCCGTTTCCTGCAGAAATTACAATTATGACTATTACTGTACTTTTTTTGGGTTGTTGCCCTTTCTCACACTTACATTTCGTACGATAATACAGCACCAAAAACACAAACACATAAAACAAAAAAAAAACAATTACTCATGTTGTTATTTTTTTTTTTTCCATTTGTGGGCCACGTTAAGTCAATAATTATTTTTCAATTAAAATAACGGGTTATTTCTATGTTCATTGCATTAATTCAGTTCTGAACTTCTTATTAGTCATTATAAAAATGTGAATAAAAAATGTAAAAGTTATATAATTGCAAATATAATTATAGACAAATGTTTTTATAACAATTAAACGAATAATTATAACAAGTTTATACTGTTTGAAATACTTATTAATATATTCGATTAAATTTCAGAGATTACATAATAATAACTCTCAAGGATATTCTTTCTAATTTTATATCACATAATGAAAAAAATAATCGGCGGAATAATAACTCTTTTAAAATTTGAAATTTTTAATGATGTAATTTACCAAATTTAAAGACTAAATAATAATAACCTTTTAAAATAAATAAATAAATTTCTAACTTCTCTTTTTTGCTTTAATATGCTTGACTTCAGTAAATAATTATTTTTTAATTTATCTTTTTCATTTGGTACGCTTGAATTTGGTAAATATGATGTCATATAAGTATGGATGTTTGATTCGTGAAAAAAAATAAAAAATAAAAAATTGGTTTAAAATGTGGCCAAGGTTGTTGCCAACCTTACTGTGAATATAATGTGAATATATCCAAATAATTAATGATGAGGGTGTACAATTATTGATGAACTTAGCTTCTTTGCAGGGGCACTACATGTCCTTGTATTTCTCATTTCCTTTCTTTTTATAAGAATGGATTTAATGTGTATAATGCAAAATAGAGTGATTGAAACAACCATTTATGAGATGAGAATTTGATTTTTTTTTTTAAGAAGAGAATTGAAATTAAGTCCTACAATTTTTTAGGATTTAATTTATATTTGGGTGGACCAATTTGTTTATACAGTAAAGAGAATCTAAAATTTCCAAGGACATGAACGTAAGGTTGTAGGGTACCCTATTGCATTGTAATGACACGTATGACTCCTAAACCCTAATGTTTCAAATCCTATGGCCGAAAAAGTTATGATTGAATGATGAAAATTAGAAAGTCCTCTCAAAATCATCCAAAATCTATAGACTGAAATTAAAAGGTTAGTCTTTTTAATTTTCACAGCACAAAGAATCACAAAAAGAGACGCCCTTTTGCTTTTTAGCACTTTTGGGAGCGTCTCCTTTAAGTTCTATAAATGCAAAAATCTGAAAAGTACAAAACATTTTTACCTAAACATTCACTTGTCACTACCAAAAATGGTCAATTAGGCAGATAACCATAGCCAAAATTTTCATCTTATTGGTTTACTTAAGGTTAATTACTATGATCACTAGAAATTAGCTATTAAAAGCTAAAAACATGAGTAAAGAAATGGTATAATTTTTACTTGGGAATGGTGTAAAAATGGTTTCAACCCATTGATCAAAAATTTTCAAGTCAAGCAAGAGCAACTTTAGGAGAGTCTTATTAATTAAGTACATGTGCTAATATTTTGGTCCATTTGGGTTTATTTTGTAGAATAGATGCCCCTCGACTAGGTGCTTCACCGTTTTGTGTGTGTGTGTGTGTGTTTTTTTTTTCTAACTCTTTTATGGCGCCAAAGTTTGGGGTCAATAATTAATAATTCAATATATGGTTCTAAAGCATCCTTCAAGCATATTTAGATCTTCCTTGACTTGGATTTTTCTGTTTGAAGACAAGACTAACATGTGTTTCATTGCACATGTAACCAATAGTTGAGCATAGGTACAATGTTTGGGTGTAGATGGAGATTATTTAGCTAATTTGAGAAAAAAAAAAAAGTAATTATGTATAAAGAAAAAATATAACTTTTTTTTATATAGCTTAACGTCCATTAATAAATCAAATGATTTATTAGCAATTCATAGTTTTAAAAGTTATTAATTTAGCTATTATTTGAAATTAAACTCGTAAAGTTTAAAAGTACTCAAATATAATTAAAATTGATAAGTTAAATAAATTTATTTACTTTATTTTTTATATATTATTTTCTTTAATTTACAAAAGGTTAAATATAGTAAAATGTAAAAGGACCCAAAAATGTTTTTGATGATATCTATTTCCTAAAAAATTTGGTTTAATAAAATGGGAGGTTCACATTATTGTTTGCGGAAAAATATAAATACGTTTGACATTATTTTTTGCAAAAAATATAAAAATTTATTTAGAAATTTCATATTTTTTTTTTTCACTTAACTGTTTGTGAATTTTTTATGAAAAAGACATTTACGTTTCATTTTGTTAATAATCGAGAGTGTAATTTTTTAACAGCATTAATGTGTAGCTTTCATATGTTAAATTTGAATTGACATATGAAAGTATTAATCCAATGCCATATAAGTACAAATTAATATGATTAAGGATCCTAATTATATATAATTTTTATGAAAAGAAAAGAAAAAACCACAAATTATGAAATGAAAATGTGCAAAACCATATTGAAAAATTTTTTTACACTTCCCCCCTTTTTGGGGTTGGGGGGTGTGCAATACATTGCCACAAGGGGCCAAGACATCTCCTTTCTAAGCACAAATGCACACAGTAATTAAACAACCATAACGGTAAAAAAAAAAAAAAAGGATAAAGAAAGATTTTAACTTAGGATCCTTTGTTCAAAATTAACTAATCCATAAGCATGTGCTTAAAAATTGGGTTTCTAAAGAGACTTTAGGGACACAAATTTCTAACCCTTTTTCCAATATGCTGTTCTTCTTTGAAATTCTCCTTTTTTTTTTCTTTTTTTTTTTATCTTCACTTTGAATTTTACCTTTTGCAGAAAAATTAAAATTAAAAA